GCCAATGGCGTGCAATGGAACACCACAACCAATGAAAGCAGTACATAATGGCACTATTGCTCTCACAATACGCAGTAGTCCAAAGTAAAACAAAGTTATCATGCTATCAGAAATAGTAGATTGTCTTCTATGTGGTCGACAGGAAAGAGGCGCACGTTCAAAATATACAATAATAGGAACTGTTGAACGACAACAAAAAATTTACGATGGTTATGAAAAACTACTAACCAGCCCGGATGCAACGACTTTTGTAAGAGTCGTCTTTGTATTCCGTACCATATTTTCTCTTTTCGATTTCTATTTTAGAAAACACCTTTTCCATCAGTGTTTCTAACAGCAAGGGTCCATCATGATGACAAAGTGTCCAAGAATTTTGCCATGTTTGATTGACACTCTATTTTGCACTTTGCTCATGAAAACAAAATGTCAAGCAGACACTTCCTTAGAATAATTTACACTTTGATTTTCATCGTATGCAAGCTCCTAACTTCTAAATTTTGTGATTAATAGTAATGTATTCGATAACCTGACATCTACCAGTTAATCTTTGGATTGATTGGAACGTTTCTGTCTTTCAAAACTTGTTACTCCTTCATATTTGACACAACTCTTTAGGCAACCTATGTGAATGCTTGGTACGAGTTTACTTTAGGCAGTGCCTTGACCCACAAACAGTGCTTTGTATACAAAATATATCTTCCGTGTTTAAAGTAAAGTAATGTCCATTTTATTTTATCTTTCTTTTACCTCGTTTATGAAATATAAGATAAAAGAATTGATCATCGGATGTTACTGAATAGTAAAAGTTGTATATCTTCTATTGGATCTTATGTAAGTAAGTGCCAAGAGTGTCTCGATTTTGGGGTAGCACTTTCACTATAAATTTAAAGTAAAATAAAAATAAGAGCACTTTAAACTTTAACTTTCAAAAAGTTAAAGTTAAATTAAATTCCTTCACAAGTATCTGAAAAAGAATTATTTTTTTATAATAAAATGAAATAAACGTGAAAAAGGTGATGTTTGTTTTGTGAAAAAATGATCTTTTCAAAAAATAATTTTTTTAATGAAAGAAATACCATTTTTTTGCAAAAAAATCTTCTGGAAAAATCTAATTCAATTCTAAAACTTAAAGAAATTATCTTTAACTGAACGTACTATATCAAAGTAGTTTTAAAGTTAAAGTGCGACCGTAGTCTTAATGTCTACAAGGTATAAGAGAAGGGTGCGCGAGATCGATGACTCAGGAGACCGATTGGAAGATATTTCAAGATTCGATCGAATTTCGTAGATTCCAGTGATGTTTTTAGAAGTAATGAGAAAAAAATCTAAATAAAACACTGAAAACTTGCTTGTCAAAAGTGCAAAATTGGGATGTGAGACCTTGCCCTAGTAGGAAACCTCTGATAAATTGATATGAAATATTTCTGTTTTTTAATCTAATTCTAACAATCAACATCTTGGAAACTTTGTTTAAAAGAATAGTGTCATTTTACACTTTGATGGCAAAAATAAAATATCATTTGACTTTTTATTTTAGATTTTTATTAGAAACACTGTTTTCCACCATCTAAATACAGAGTACGACCAGCAACACATTTTAGAAAAACTTATGGATCAAAAGTGAAACACAGTCAAGAGAAGAAATAATTTTTTTGTATTTTATTTTCTGTAATGATATTTATTTATTTATTTATTTGTTTGTTTTTTGTTAATTAAAAAAAAAGATTACTTCAAATAAATTCACTGATCAAAACGATTGTTACAATACAAAAATAACTCGAGATGTGTAAATTAAATTGTCACTCAAAACTGTTTGAATTTGACAAGATAGAAATCGTGAAATGATTTATTCTTATATAAAGCTGTCATCTTGTATTCTTATTGTTCATGCTGATAAGCCATTACAGCCGATCTGTGTTTTGATTGGTCAGATTGTTCCGATTATATCTCGGAAGGGACACTTTTCTGGGAAAAACTAAAAACGTAGATCGATAGAGAAAATTTTTCTCTACCGACTGGTATTTCTCAAAAGTTCGGCCTAATTAATTTTTTAAGAGGTCGCCACNAGCTAGCGGGTGTCCCATAATCAATGGCCGGTGTTTGTATCTCTTTTTTTATCATCTAGTATGTTTATTTTAAAAGCAAAGTATATCATAAGATGCAGCATGAAAAGTTCTACAATTTACCAAGAACAATTTATTATATATAGATGCATCTTTTGTTTTTAAAATAAGTAAAATTTTGTGCGATAAATAAATCATCTTATTCGCAGCGTCGAAAATTGGTGGTACAGATATTTACCCATTTTGAAAACGAAGAGTGCATATATAAAATAAGTTTTTTAATGCAACTTGTAGAGCTTTTCACGCTGCATCTTATGGTATACTTTGCTTTTAAAATAAACATACTAGATGATAAAAAAAGAGATACAAACACCGGCCATTGATTATGGGACACCCGCTAGCTTCGATAGTTGGGTATTTTTTATGTGTTGGATAATCTTCATTTAATTTTTTTTTCTTACCTTTATACAGAAATAAGTTTGATTATGATTTTGTAGAGAATTTCACGGCGCATCTTTTGAAAAAACAATCAGCTTTCAAGATCAAAAAGAAAAAAAAGTTATAGTCAAAATACGGATGGGATCAGAACTTATGACACACCCTTTATAGCACAGTACGAGCTTTATGCTAGAAGTGAAAGTGTTCCTTATCCATATAAATCTGGCATGAACAGCTTTGATCGAAATCTTAATATTATTAATATCAACTAAGTAATGGTGAAATATTATAGAATTATGAACCACTGTTTGCACCATCAGAATATATATATAGAGTGACAATTTTTCCGAGCTTTCGTTAATGTATTATACTTTTACTACCACTATTTTTAGTATCCCCTAAGTATATATATATGTATATGGTAATGTAGTTAGCGAATCATATGTACTAATAGTTAATGATAGATTCTTTCAAATTATTAAAATAAAAAATGTGTAAATAATTACTTTTTTTCGACTGAAACACGAAAAAAACAAGATATATAAATGACTCATATCTCCATAGCAACATATGAATATTCAATTCATTCGAAATCCATACAAAATTCAGCACATTTTAACTAAGATAATAAATGAAAAAAGCAATAATCTCTAAATCCACTTGAATCTCTTTCTGATACAGATGTAGCTGTTCTATTAAGCAATTCATACGAAGATGATCAGTTTTCATTCGTTTTTTTCTCAAAACTTAATCTAAACTTCATCATATAGACTTGTTCTATTTAACTATTATAACCCGTTTATATTGATTAGAAAATGACTAGTTGCAATTAAAATAAAGCAAATAATTTACCGTCCATTCAGTTCTCTTTCCAAAACAATATTCTGGATGATAATAATATTCATTCATTGATGTTAATGCTCCATATGATAATTTAACATGAACACCATGAAAAAATTTAATTCGACCTAATACTGTATTATTCGTCATAGATTCGGAATGGTTTTTTATTGATTCAATATCAATATTAAATTTGGTTTCATTAAACGTCGGTCGGCGTTCAAATGCAAACCAAAATTTAGTATATTGAGTTAATAAGTCAATTGGTGATAATCGTATTTGTTGTATTAATAATTCTTTTGAATTATTATTTAGTCTTTGAGATTCAAGTTCAGAAAGATAATAAAAGCGTGTTGTTCGAGAATTTAAACAAAATGGCCATATATCAGCATAATTTCGTGTTGGTTCATGTTGTATTCTGTGTGAATCAAGAACACGAGTAGCTTTCTTATAATCAAATTCATTGTCAAAAACAATTTTTGTTGTACTTGCATTAAATGAAAAATCAATTTCTTCATTGAAAGGTTTATTCTATATAGGAAATTATATTATTTCATATTGAATTTCAAAAAAGAAAAAAAGATAAATATTTACTGGAAAAGATTCGTTATAATGGTATCCATTTATTGCTTGTGTAGTAGTGGTTGGTGGTGGTGTAATTATTACATGTTGATCATTGCCATTGATTTTTTTAGGTAATGAAGTTTCAGATTTATATTCATCAATAACAGTTGCATCATCACGACCGAGAGAAGTAGATGTTGGACTTGGAGGACTCTAAAATCCAAAAAAGATCTAGTTTAAGAAAAATAAATAAATGAAAAATATTATTACGATAGATATTGATCGTGAACCACGACCCCAACCAACAGTAAAAGGACAAGATGATGAAGAAATTTTTTGCGGAGATGTTAAGCATTTGACACGATCATTATTGAACTCTGCAATTAGATTATCATGACCATTTTCTTCTTCGATTTCTTCCACTTCGTGATCGGCTTCTTCTACTATTTCATCTTCTTCGATTACATCGTCTTCTTCTTCATCGTCTTCGTCTTCATCCGATGAACGTCGATGAAGAAGTTGCAGTGATGTATGAGCTTCTGGATTAACAAGAAATGTATTTGTTGAATTAATTGTTGTATCAATAAATGGGTTTTCTGTCATAGTTATCCTTATTAGATAGAATTCATTAAGTATATTCTTTGTTTTTCTTTCATTTAATTTCTAGTCAATACGACACTCCTCTCGAAAATATCCACAATTATTCATTTTTCCAAGATGTAACGGTTGAATAATTTGATTGGCTAGTGGTAGTCACTGTACTTAGTGACTATGATATAGTTGTCGCTAACTTTTATCGCTATATAGTAGTGGTCAAAATTAATAGTACAAGATATTTTTGGTTTTTTCTACAATACCAAGTATTTTACTTAAATCCACAAAGTGGCTTAAAACGGATTATGATTATGGGAGCACGGTTTCTAAGAAAAACTGAAAACCGTCATTTTCATGTTCCAGAAGGCTTTGTAAGGATTAGTTTTTGACCGTACCATATGAAAGAACAAGAAATTCTGAATAAAATGAGAATTTGTCGCATTTTCTACAACTTTTTCCTAAAAGTTTAGAAGAATTACAAAGACGAAAAAATGATCTTCTTATTGTAATCAATTTTCAGTGGTTTTTAAATAAATTTCGCTTTTTCCCCATTTTTTGCGATGCTTGCAACTCTTTGAGAAGATCATAGAAAACGTGGTTACTCTTCAGCTTATTTAGAATTTTATGCTCTATGAGATACTACTGTCAAAAATTAATTATCATAAAGTTTTTTGAAGCATGAAAATCACTGTTTTCGATTTTTGAGAAACTTTACTTCTGTAGTTCATCCATGAAATTTTGATATGAAATCATATTTGATAGAGAATTTCATTGTGCATTCAAACCACTATTTGAATTTGAGTTTGATCCTTGATATTATAGGAGAAAATAAAAAACAGGGATTGTTCTTATCATTTTAGTCATTATTGTATGTATAAGAGTTTTTTTTCATTTTTATAAATAAATAAACATATACATAATCAAAAACAACCATGCAGATCAGAGAAGAAATATAAAAAGCTTTTTTTTTGCAAAATCTAGAAAAACAAATATTCATTTTTCTTCATTGTCGATGTTTCTTCAGACTCTGATTCGTATTTTGAACAGTTGACTATTATTTAACTTGCTTCACATTCGTCAACAAAAATATCAGTTACTTGTCCTATTTTTCTTTGACCATAAAGACAAAGTGTAATATCATACAACTTTTTTTTCAACAATTCCCATTCTACATTAAAAAAAACATTATACACAATTATTTCAACAATAATCAGCTGATTTAAAGTTAGATACGGATTAAGTCAACATTATAACATCAACAAGAAGACCAGGATATTCTCCTCTAATAATCATATTTCTTATTTAAATTGCAAAGAAGTTAATTGTTGTCAATGTGACAGATTGCAATAGAATACCTATTCAATATAGTATTATATTTATTTTTACTTTCTATATAATATTACAATAGACAACTTAAGTGATATTTGTCTTTAGTCGCCACTAGTCATGTAAAATATTTTTTCCTAAAGTTTGTTGCAATTCATGGATTTTTTTATCGTTATTTTTCTTGCATATTGCAGATGTTATTTGTAATTTTGAAGTACTATTCTCTTAGTAATTTACACGCTCATGGATGGAACCATTACATGATAGAATTATGAATGAGAATCGTGAACATGATATTTTGAAAAACATTTTATTTAAAAGCAAGTGAATTTTCTCCTTTTAGAAGCGAGTAACGTTCTTCGTTACGACTTGCCTGACTCTCGACTGAATGTTCAACTCTTTCTATACAACTTATTGCTGTGCCCTACATGTAAAATGCGAATAACTGTTACGACTGTTAAACTTCTTTGAGTTTTCAGCTAATAGGGAATACAAGTCTATATGAACCTTCCATGTGATGCTGAGCGGATCTCCACAGAATCTTATGGGTATCGTCAGCAGATCTCTAGAGCTCCTAAAGACATCTTCAGATGATCCTGAGAAGATCTATAAGGAATCCGGAGGGCACTATCACAGGGTCTTCATGGAATCTCCAAAGATTAATTAGAGGTCTACAAGAGTTTCTCACGAAACTATCAGTAAATCTCTTAAGGATCTCTTGGATGTCGATTAAGTATCTGCTGGAAAAACTAACTTAGGCTACTTTTCGAAGATATTGTGAATTTCTATTTCCGAAAAAATTCAAATTTCTGCACATCATTATGCAATGAGTGATAGAAACTAAAGAATACTACTTCGAGGGTTCAAATTCAATGTCTATGGTGTATAGCTGAAATTGATATTTTCACATTTCAACTCAAGAGATACAATTCAATTTTTGGCGTCGAGTTGGACTACAAAGTTCATTTTAATATGAAAAGTATAGAGAAATTATGTCCATATTTTCAATGGTCGGTTAGGTTAAAAAAAAAGGGGTTCGTCCGGTTGAGGCATGTCAATGTGGGTCGTGTGTGGACTAAGATAGAGCTGCAACTACCCACTTACCCACACTCTTATGAGCAAGCTAACGTTTTATTCGAAATATATTTTAGAAATTGAAGAGTGATTAAAATAGTCACCTTATAACTCTTGTCATTAATACTAATATACCAGTTACTCAATGAACCGTTTCAGAATAGTTAACAATAACAAGATGGATTTCCTGACTCATTTCAACTCTAAAGATATACACTTCATTTCTATATAGTTATCATAGCAAAATCAATTGTCTAAACTTATTTTGCAAAGAACTGAAATAAATTTTCATGAAATTTTGCTCATAGTTATGTCATGTGAATTTCCTGAAAATAGGAACTTGTCATATCATGCAATTTCTATAGAAGAAAAAACACGAGATAAACAACCTAATGGTCTTCAAAAATGACTGTCACTGTCAATAACATAATGTTGGAAATTTGTTGACTTCAAAATATTGAAATTAAAGTACACATCTTCATAAAAATAGCAAGGTTAAATCAAAGCGCAAGCAATTTTGATGATCACAGAAATAGATTTGACTGATATTCAATAAAAATTGTCTAATTATAGCAATCGATTAGGAGTGTAAATGTCAAAAACCAAAGTTTCAGGTAGAGATCATTGTCATCCAGCTAAATCGGTTGTAATGAGTTTTTATTTGAATCTTGGCTAGATGCTGTCAAGCGGTACGATATAAACTGCTCCTCTGGCAACCTGTTCGCTGCTCGAGGAGAGTATGGCTGCAATTCTTTTCAATACCTATTCAATCATTCACGTCCAACTATCAAAGTGGCTACGAACCTAATGGATGGTTGTACATAAATAGAGCGGAATCCTGTTCTTAGGCATATTTATTTAGATGTTTATCAGAAACAAGGGTATCATTGTTTACTACCACATTTATTAATAGCCAACGTATTCTGCTTGAGTCCTTGACAGGTGTTTCAGCACATACTATTCCAACTTCAATGAGACTGGACTATGCCACAGAAAAGTATAAATGCCATATTTTCTTCTGATTTTGCAATCATTTGTTTTGACAATGTAATGCAAACTAATGATGCTTTGTGACATCGTCATGACAGCAACCACAGTTAACTTTACGTTATATTAAATTTTATTGGGCACATGCTAAAATACGGATATCTATAGTATCGAAATTTCATTTTTGTTCCTCTTAAGTAAACTTCGACTCTGATTTGACAGAATAACTGGTGGCATAGGACTTTTTTTACATTTACTTGATGTTATAAATGCAGTTTCTTATCTGATGACCAACAAAGTTGAAATGGTCGAATCATATCTCAAGCAAGCCATTGTAGATAGTACCTCATCTAAGATTTGATCACTATGGTTCTTCAGATAACTACGTAAAGGCCACATGCTCGTCCATTATCTGCTGCTTTGTTATGTTCTATTATCAAAATGTCCAAAATCTATGGTTAAGTATTGCGTGATGATATATATTCTATAGTTCTGATAAAGTTTATTTAATAATATCAAGTAGCTCACGGAAGAATGAACTCTGTGAACTCTTTCATCAGCGTCATGTGTTGTTTTGTGTTCATGTTATTTAGAATTCGTTCTCTATTACAGCCAAGTTTCTAGCAATGTTTTTTGGCTGTTTCATGTGTCGATCAATAGTGTTCGTTGACTACTATGCAAGACTATAACGCATATTTCTTAAAAACATCTGATTGCCAAACTTTGTCGCCATTAATATTGGTGTGGATGTGAGCGGTTGTGGTGGTGATGATGCCAGCGGGTTAATCAGTGTGCATGCAAGGTGATGCTTCTATTCATTATTCAAATAAATGCACTCACACTTACACATCCACAATCACTCCATATTCACCAACACCCACATTCACACTCACACACTTTATCATGCTCATGCTTTCCACTGAACGTGGAACATACTAATCAACCATTTTTCTACCATCACCCATAGCCAAACTTTTAATGGTCTGTAAAAGTTTCTCATTTTCCTTCAGTTTTATTTTATATAGATCCTGAAAAGATATACTGCACAAGATATTCATCAGAATCGTACATGTAAACTGTTTTAGGCGCTTCTCACTTGTAAAGACGTTTTGAAACTTGATAAGTAATTGAACGAACAAATCAAGTGCTCAAGGTTCAGTCAGTCGTAGTTTGTTTCTGTACGACTCAGAGCATATTCGAGCGACTGATCGTCTACAAATAGTTTGGTACGAAGGGTCAAGTGTTCAAAGCCATGGAATCCTTCATCACGGTATTGCTCGACTTCAATAATCAATTATTTTATTTAGATTGCTATTTACGTACTCGAAATATACAAATGGCATCTTCACGTGTTTTAAAGTTAACAGTAATCTGTTTCTTTTATGGCAGTAGAATCTCTATGATTTTCCAGTGGTACAATTCTATTAGACACGCATCTATAATGTTGTATCAATTGCAAGAAAACTTCAGACAGTTATCTTCCAAAACTAAAAATGATACTTTTGTTTTATCACATGCAATACAAACTATGAGCATAAGACAACTAAAACTTAAGTACCTAATATATCGTATCTCTTTCGTCGGGTTAATTTTCTTAGTTATAATGATTCTTAGCAGAAATA